TTTTTCTGACTCCCTTATGGTCATGCAATGTTTCTTAATTTCAATATAGAAAAACCCTCCTTATCTGAATTTTGTGACTACGCGCCTGCTAGTTGGGATTATTGAGAAAGACATTTCACCTACAGGAGATTTCACCTACGCCACCCCCCCCCCCCCCTCCCCAATAAAAAGTCTTCGGGACGTTCCTGCCGCCTTTGTTGAAGCCCACAGCACGGATCATGACGAACGACGTCTGAAAGGGGAGAGGAAGCCAATGGGACAGGACTCATAGCGAGAGATTTTATGAACCTATCAAACCTATCAAAACGATTAAGATATACTTAATAGCCTGTTGACTAGACAAGGACAACAAATAATACGGCCATTATACTCAATGCGCTTTGCACTCAAATGCTTGAAAATAAGTTACAGGTGTTTCAGGAAAAAGAGGCGAGGAAAATGAGAGCAGCTTCAGAGCGCCTGAGTGCTCAAAGCGTGGCACCCGAAAGCAGCTCAGGTAATGGAGCAGAACTCGTCGATCATGGAGCAAAACGGAGCGAAACTCGGAGAACAGAATGAATATGATCAAACAAAATTTTCACTGTTGTGGGAGGGCTAGGAGAAATTCTTGGGAGCTCTGTAATGGAGCAAAACTCGCCGATAGTGGAGCAAAATGGAGCAAAACTCCGAGAACAAAATAAGCATGATCAAATTTCAGAATTTTCACTGGGGGGGCTAGCGTTAATTCAGCCCCCCCACCTAATAGGCCACATAGTCTTTTCACTGTAATGGAGCAAAAATCGAAATTAGTGGAGCAAAATGAGAGCAAAATTATGGGATAATTTTCATCCAAAAATTTTTTATGGGGGGGGCTAGCTTAACTGACCCATTATTAGGTGATAGGTAGATGTGAATTCATATAAAATGTGTATAGTTTTTCCAAAGTCAATTGGAACAAGGTGAACATAATTCGTAACTGGTGGGTGACTAGTGGCAGTGCATTTGTTATGGAGATTTGAGTAACCAGTCAGCCACCAGTTGGTACATTGTTCCAAATGAATTTGGAAATACTATACATTTCTTGGACATTAAACTACCTGTATCTCTAAAACTAGTCATTGGATTAAGTTGTGTCCACGGTAGTTATTGATCAGAAAGGTAAGATCTATAACATACTAAAATTTCAATATTTTCTTTTAGTCTAGGAAAATTGTCGATTTTCAAAAAAAAAATCCTACCCAAAAGAACTTTTCAGGGATGATAGGGGGAGAGTGGGTGATCATAAAACCGAAAATATCAAACATTCAACCCTCTGGCGTTTTGCGCTATAGGGGTTGAAAGTGAGCCATTGGCGATTACTTGGTACCTATTGATTTTACAAAAAAATGTTTCAAATAAAAGATTTGCAACATTATTTGATCTACAATGTTTATTTAAAGACTTTTTTGATTTAGGGCCGTCTGTGGTCATAAGGGCCGTTTGAAATTTTATAATGAAAATGAAAAATTTTAACTGACGTGAAAAAATTTTCTACAACTCATACAACATTTTTGCCTTATGAAGTTTTTACTCACCCCTTGCCGTTTTTCAATAGGGGTAGTTTAAAGTTTTTTTATTTTTTTACAAAAAAATTTTCTTAATAAAAGTTTTATAAGATGACATTTCCTACAATTTTTCCTGATCAACTTTTTTTGTAACTCACCCCCATTCAGCGGGGGGACACTTCCCTCGGGGAAATTTCAGTTTTTAGGGGTATATATTAATTTTTTTTTTCTTTTCTCGCCTTTAGTGCATATAAAAAGTTGCAATTAACATTGTATTGAAAGGATTTTTTTTTCACCACCTTTTTGTTTTTAGGGGTAGTTCGCCTATTTTCAACTTTACAAAAAAAAATTATTAAGAGAATTTCATACATCTGTCAAAACTGATATTCCAACAATAAATTGACATGTTTTGATTGTTGATTTGAACAAATTAGATTGTAATTACGCGATAATTTGCACTAGTGCAAATTATCAGATAATTGCATACTAACTGGTGCGAAAACTGGTGTTTTGACATTTTTTGACAAAAAATTTAAATTTTTGATTTATGAAATTCTCTCATTAAATACAACTCGTGCAATGGAAATATATTTATAATTTTCGACAAATGCATGAGTGCAAACTCATGCGTTTATAACTGAAAAAGGCACTCGTGCACTACGTGCATTCGTGCTCTTTTTCAACTACAAATGCATTCGAGCAAATTTCCCAAAAATTATCAATAATTTCCATTGCACTAGTTATATTACTATTTAAAACTTGTTCATTTTATTATTTTGAGCAACTTTTCTCTATAACTTTTTTTTGCAAAGTTGAAATTAGGCGAACTACCCCTAAAAAAAAAAGGTGGTGGAAAAAAAAATCCTTTTAGTACAATATTAATTGGAATTGCACCTTTTTATATGTACTTAAGGCGAGAAAAGAAAAAAAAATTAATATATACCCCTAAAACTAAAATTTCCCTAAGGGACGTGTGCCCCCGCGGAATGGGGGTGAGTTACAAAAAAAGTTGATTGAGAAAAATTGTAGGAAATGTAATCTTATAAAACTTTTATGAGGAAATTTTTTTTGTGAAAAAATAAATAAACTTTAAACTACCCCTATTGAAAAACGGCAGGGGGTGAGTAAAAACTTCATAAAGCAAAAATGTTGTAGAAAAAATTTTCACGTTGGTTAAAATTTTTCATTTTCATTATAAAATTTCAAATGGTCCTCATGACTACAGACGGCCCTTAATCAAAAAAGTCTTTAGATAAACATTGTAGATCAAATAATGTTGCATATCTTTTATTTGAAACATTTTTTTGTAAAATCAATAGGTACTAAGTAATCGCCAATGGCGCACTTTCAACCCCTATAGCGCAATACGCCAGAGGGGTGAATGTTTGATATTTTCGGTTTTATGATCACTCACCCGCCCCCTATCATCCCTGAAAAGTTCATTTGGGTAGGAATTTTTTTTTGCAATACATGTATTTTTCGACTATTTTCCTAGACTATTTATTCAATCCTAATAACTTTTCGCGAAAAAAAAAATTTGTCCTTCAATGTCGTTTTTTGAAGCTTGATCTTTTATAAGATGACATTGGACCACATTTTACCTCAGATCTTTGTTAATTTCAATCCGATCGTAACGTGATTAGCTTGAAATAAAGCCAATTGAATCCTTCACAAATCTCTTTTGAGTATTTTCAATGCAGCTTTAATAGTTTCGTAGCTGCAGAATTTTAAAGCCTTTCGACTTTGATTTTTATCAAGGTGAGCGAGTAGAAGCAAATTTTCATTTTTTTGTCTCAAATTTCAAGCTTGATTTTTTCCAAAATGACATTGAACCACATTTTACCTCACATCTTTGTTAATTTCAATCCGATCGTCACGTAATTACACCTGAAATAAAGCCAATTGAATCTTCTAGAAATCTTTGGTGAATAATTTCAATGGCGCTTAAATAGTGTGAGATTTCTTGGAATTCCAGTGGGATTCCAATGAGATTCCTTAGTTTGTTTGATGAGTCGATATTTTTAATTTGTACCTATGTAGTGGCGGCTTAACTGAAAAACAAGACTTTTTTATCCCAAATGTTTGCTTGCTATCATTCAAAATAATTCCAAACATTCACAAGACATGCCATGGAATTCCTCGAGGAATTCTATTGAATTCCAGTAAGATTTCGTGGAATTCCAGTAGGGTTGCGTTGGATCCAAAGGCTTCACGAGCCGGTAATAATAAAAATGTTGACTATCACCGGCTGTCAATTGCCTTCAAATCAAGAATCCAGTAATAATAATTATTACTGCCACTTGATTGCTTCACTTTACAAAAATCAAGAATCCATGTAACATTCATGTGGTCAAACTGCACATAAAGTTGGCTTCAAATTACCGGAGCGTGTGTGCCCCTTGATCTAAGTAATTCTAACCCCCGAATAACGCGATTCTTTTGATCGCTTGGCACGTGTTCCAGCATCAAAACCACCCTACCGATTTTTAATCACTCTCTTTTCTGCATTACTTTGCATCGCACAATTGTAGGTACGCGCATTTATTATTACTATTATAGAGGGTGAAAAGTTGTGTGGGGTAGTTGGACGCGACGCAACCCAGTAGCGGAACAATTTTATCCTAAATATACATATGCAAAATAAGATATATATTGTAAATAGGAATGCTGATATTTATGACCTCCCAGATTGTTTTTAAATATTTAAATTTAATACCATTATAATAGACAACTGCATTGAATATATGTACTTGTATGGTAGCAACAACCAAAAAAAAAAATCTACTATGCTTCAAAACCATTTAGTATGCAAATCCAAGTATCAGAGACAGGTCCTTAATTTCTTATTATAATTTTTTTGCATGTGTTCAAATTAAACACCTAAATTAGACTTTAATCCTGTTGCTGAATATTCAGTAGCCCGGCATGTAAATTTGGTAATTTAACAAATGTCGTTTTAGGGCATTTTTTTCATATACATAATTAGAAAATAATAACATAATATCCAAATATTTGCTAAAAATAAAGCAATTTTTTCAACTTTAATAGGTTTTTAATGTTAATTTTTTTAGTCTAATGTGTTTCTAATGCACCATGGGCAAAAACTTCTCCACCACTGATTATTACCGGTGCGTATACGTACTTTTTTATAATGCTATGTGCATTGGGGTAACCAACCCTCACTATGTCACAGCGAAAGAGGTTGTGGGGGTTCACCAGATTCGAATAATCATCGAAACTTGTTTGCGTGCACGCATATGCTAAATTAACTGCTCTAGGATTTATGCATAAGGTGGAAAAGGGTGCATATAGGGGTTCCAGCGACCATAAAAAGTTTCACAATAACAGTGCAAATATTTATTTAGAAGTTAATTCTATTTCTATCTTGTTAAATTAGATAATAGATAAAAAAAATTGAGAACAATTGAAGTATGTTATTAGGTAAACATGTGGGATTTTGCGTTTTAGGACGCAAATAAGTAATACAAAACTATAAATTTACTTATCATCTTGAAAATTACAACGCAATGTGTAAGTGCTGAAGTGTTTTCTTTGGAAAAGTAATGCACTTTAAATTTTTCGTTATTGGTGTTTTTTTCTGCCAAGTAAGTTTATTTCGTATTGTAGTAAAATTAATGCAGAGTACTAAGCAAATTGTAAAAAGCCTGCAAAATTTAAATAGAATGTTTAAACTTGCTTTTTGAATCAAAACTTTATTTTATTGTACACCCTGTACAGAATTGAAATTTGGGGATCTATAGAAGAATCATTGGATTACCTTTATTGCAGGCTTTTTTTTTTCAAGATACAAGTCAATTAAATCATACATTATAACCCTTAACTAATAATGTTCTGTTTTAGTTATTACAAGTAACATTTTCAATCCCATTCGACGAATTATGGCAACTCCAAACCCAAATCGAAGTCGATATATTCCAAATGAAAAGCGACCTTTACAAAGAACTAAACAAATTGGAATATTTGATAGGACACTTGAATTATAAAATCAGCGACGAAACTGAAACGCTTCAAGGCTTGATCGGAAATAAAAATTTTGAAGCTATATACAAACATGAATCCATAGACTATTGCAAAAGAAAAGTTGAATGGGATTTAATCCATTTGGATAGATGCAATATGCGTTCTTGTAAAGCTCCGCCAGATTATTCCCAAAAACTATTCGTCGAAGCCAAAATATTTGTAGAGTCCATAGCCAAAAAGAGAATGATGTGCCTCAGACAACACTATCTAGGTTCAGACGTTACCACTTGCTTCGAATGTGTAATCACAGAAACAAACAACAAAAAAACATTAATTTTTGGAAAATTGAACAAACTAAAAAAAGATGCCTCAAGAGGAAGCCTACTATGCCTTCAAAATAATTTCAATAACATAATCAAGCAAATATGTTTGGCAGGTTGCCACTTTGAAGAATGTGCAAATAAAATTTTATCTTAGATTATTATTTAATCCCCAAGGGGTGGGTTTTTGTATAGTTTCGGTTCTATAACGTTTTTTTTTTTTTTGCGCTACGACTATCATTAAACAACAATGGACCTAATGCCGAATGGTGGCGCACGTGAAACGACAAAGGGCACAAACCCACCCCTAATCCAACAAGTATAACTAGAAACACACACATGCAGGGTACAACAACTTTTACGACACGCGTTGATTTTTTAAATTTTTCAGCGGTAACCAAACAGTCGATTTTTATTAAGTCATAACTTGGTTCGTTTTAATCTCGATGAAGTAATTAGATCAGCAGCGGTTCAATTTTTGTGTCCGAAGATGGTAAGGAAAAAGGACGAGCACTAAAAAACGAAATTAAAACGCATCAGGCAAATAAAATTTTTAATTAAAACAGCAAAAAGTTGCTTCGAACGATAATGGTTGTGTTTTTCTGAATATTGTCATTATCGACGTAGGCACTCGATTTACGAACAAAAGCATTAATAATACATCGATGGAATTTTTTTTAAATATTAATGTAATTAGTGGGAGATAAGAGAAAAACGTTATGGTAAAGGGTCACTAAACAACATTCTAAACGCTTGACTAAGAGACCTGAAAATAGGGTACTTGCACATTTCTGAATTATATTTTCTTTCGAATTCAAACGACTTAGTTTTTGATATATTTGCATGAAAACAACTCATCATTATCATAACAAATTTCAAATTAATTTGGTGAAAAATGGAAACATAAGAAAATCTTGAAATTATAGGAAAAATGCAATCTGTTGCTGGAGAAAGTTTGAAACTTTTGCAGTAAAAAAAGGAAGAAAGGTCTTTTTATTGACGATCCAACTTCAAAAATTCTTGAATAAAAATTTTATTAAAGTACCCTATTGCATGCAAGAATATACTCAGTTTGTAGGTATTTTAAATCACCTTTGGAAGCTTCTGAAAAATACTTAAAGCGATCAGAGGGTCTTCAAACTTCTAGGATTTATTAAGTAGGGTGCTTTTTTCAAACAAAACCAACCGCGAGTGAATCTCAGGTTCAGATATGGAATTATGATTGTTTTTTCACTTTAATGCAAAAAAAACATGTAAAAATTGCTATCACTTTGGAAGCTTCTGAAAAATACTTCAAGCAATCAGAGTGACTTCAAACTTTCAGGATTTATTGAGTAGGCTCTTTTTTCTAATAGAACAAATCGGGAATAGATCCAGTGGCGGGTACAGTGGGGAGGGGCGATTGCCCCCCCCCCCCTTTTTAAAATAAAATAATAGAATTTAAAAAAAAAAAGAAAACAAAACCATATTTTAAGTTCAAGAATGTTTAGAAAGCTGGAAACCTATAAAAAAAATCACACTTTTATCTTTGTCTCAAGAACTTTAACCATATTCATACAAAATCATTGAGATTATGTACAGGGTATTTTTTTATATATTAACATTTCACCTATAACATTTACCTTTATAGGTAGATGAAAGGTGTAAATACAAAAGTTGTATAGTATTGGCTAAATTTTTAAAATCCATGATCAAAAACAAAAATTTAATGTCAGAAATGTGAAATATTGCATGCTTTCAGCTTTTTTCAAATGGGATGCGCTATATGTATTTGATTCTATATTCTTGAAGAACACAATTTCCCGATTCCAAAACTATATACCTAGTGTAGTATAACATACCCGGGTTCGTTCAGTAAGATTGAACGATGAGAATTTTTGTTACCTTTCAAATAACAAATCTTCTGAAAAACGAAATGAAAAACAAATAGGACCTACGTTGTGGATACTTACTCAATTTTGCTTACTGGACATGCGCCCGACATAGCAAATATTAGGAAAATTTAAGGGAGGTTGTGATATGTAAAAGAAACGAAATATTTGTGAAACGTCTACTTTATTATTGAAGTAAATTGTACCGTTCTCATCCTGGAACTAACGAGGGGAAAGAGCACGACAGAGAAACTCTCGATCTAACATTCCTCAAAAATCGGAACATACTGTGTAATTTTAATAAAAATTGTGAGTCAATAAAAATTGAATTAGGTACTATCCTTTGTCTTTGTGCTAGAACTTTAATTACAGACACAACATTCAATCAACACTACCTATATTCAATACTGAAGAGTTTTTTGGTTAGTTAGCCAGTTTCCCAACAGGTACTGAGGTCCCATACGGGAAGCTACTCAGCTATAATTTTTTTTTTGAGCCAATATCTCTGGATTGATTATTTTAATTTGTTAGGATATTCTCTCGTCAGGGTAGAAAAATGTTTGTAAATTCAACAAGACCCTAATGTACGTTTTGAATACACAAAATCAAAATCTCAGCACAAAAAGACAGCACATAATTTCTTAGGTTTTAATTTACTTCTTTATCTGTATTGTTTACAGCATGAACGATTTTTGTTAAATACATGAATAATGCACATGTTATAAACAAACAAAGATACTTGTATAAATAATTGAACTCTCAAAAACAAAATAACAATTATTGAACTAACCTGTAATCGCTCCTTGACACACACACTAATAACAAATTGGATTGAACAATCAGTTTAAGGCAGCGTTAATGGCCGCCATGTTTAAACTGTGATTGGTTGATTTTTCGAAACTTGTTTTAAGGTCTTTAAAAAAACGGCACATCAAAATTGGCTCAAATTTGGCATAAACATTATTTGATCGATTATCTAAAGTATGTTTTTTTTTTCAAGATTATTCCCCAGGTCAAAAATTTAGTAACTATGTTGGCAACACAAGCCTTTTATACATAAAAAATTTGAGTTCATTGACAACTTTACATTGTATTGCCAACATAATGTCATTTTGACTTTTATCTTTAAAAAAAAAACACGGTTTACAATTCCTTATTTTAGTTTTTCGATATTCAGCCTTTTTTTAAATTCAAAAATCATGTTCGCAACCACCAAAAAAATTAAATGTGTTGGTGGTTGCATATTTGCATGTTTATCAAGCTTGGATCCGTGAAAAGCATATTTTACTGATAACCACGAAAAACTAAAAAAAGCTAATTATAGAGATTGTAGATAATATATCAAATAATGTTTATGCTAAAGGATTTTGGAAATTATTGCGGATTTTTTGAGATGACCTTAAAACAAATTTTGAAGGTGAAAGCAGTTCAAGCAATTTCAAGTAGATGGCACCACGGCAAAAAAGCTACATTGGGAGCATCATAGTCGTATATTTGTCTTTCTCTGTCACTAAGTGTTTCACCGACAAACAGATTTTGTTTTGAACAAATAATAAAATATTGAACCCTATGTGTAAAGTCATTTTCAAAAACTAAATTTGAACATGGCGTCCATTAACGCAGCCTTAATGCAAAATAAAAATAAAAATTGTATAATGAATAATTTAAGACACGCGTCTAAGGGACCAGTCCAGCTTGTTCTCTAGTCTAGTTCCGTATTCTCTATCTCCCCTTCGGTACCTACCTTTCCAGTACGCTTTACGGCGTATACAAGGTTGCAACATTTACTTTTATTCAGTAAACGTTTTTTTTTAAAGTTAAGATTTGAAGAAATAATATTTTAAATAGGTGGTTTTCCTCAATAGTTTGTCTATATTTGGTTGAGCCGGCTCCAACATATAAAAATTTTAAAAATAGGATCACAGAAACCAAGTACGTCAAATTTTACCTGCAGCTTTCACCTGTACAGGTAGAATAGGTACACAAAATCAGTAGTAGGGTAGTATTTTTACAATTTTTGAAGCCAAATATATGAGAGATTGTTCAATCAAATATAGATCGGGGAATTGTGCTTTTCAAGAATATAAAATGAAATATAGGGCATCCTATTTAAAAAAAGCTGGAAGCATGCAAAATTTAATTTTTTTGACATTCAAATTTTGTTTCTGACCATGGTTTCTAAAAATTCAGCCAAAACTGTACAACTTACTTCTACCTGTGAAGGTAAAGGCTGTAGGTGAGGTGTCAATACATAAAAAAATACCCTGTACATACAAATAAGGAGATTATTGCGGAACTTATCGGTGGGCCTCTGCGAAACGAGCGCAGCGAGTTCCGCAGCCATCTATTCATTAATACGTTGTTCGTTGTTCAAGTACGATACTAACATGACTCACTCAAATGTCAGTTATTCTCATTTGTTCAAAAACTATACACGTTTCAGGTGAGTGTCTTATTTGAATAGTTCAACAGTATATTGGTGAGTAGATGGCTGCGGAACTCGCTACGCTCGTCCCGCAGAGGTCCACCCATAAGTTTCGCAACAATTCACTTAGTTGTACTTGAACACTAACTTATTATATAAAGTCAGAATTTGTAAGATTACCCACTTTTTGTCAATTCGCCTTTCAATAGAAATTAGTAATGTTACTTTACCAAACTAATAATACATTGTGACAAGTTATTCAAGTACAAATGAGTGAATTGTTGTGGAACTTATGGGTGGACCCAGCCATCTATTCACTAATATGTTGTTCAAGTACAATACTAACCTGATTCACTCAGTTGTGAATTTTTCTCATTAGTTCAAGTACGATACTAACATGACTCACTCAAATGTCAGTTATTCTCATTTGTTCAAAAACTATACACGTTTTAGGTGAGTGTCTTATTTGAACAGTTCAACAGAATATTGGTGAGTAGATGGCTGCGGAACTCGCAGGTCCACCCATAAGTTCCACAATAATCCACTTATTTGTACATACTTCAACGACAATGAGTTGAAGTTGAATATCATTTTTCCATTTTTGGCTTTAAATTTTCGTTAATATGAAAAGAAAATGCGATAGAAAATGGTTCACAAAAAGCACATACTACAAGAATAAAATTCAGCATAAAAGAAAATTTTTAGTATGGAAAGGCAATTAGGAATAGAAAAAAATCATGGTCCAGTAATTCCAAATTGGCCTCCAAGATCCCTGGATTTGACTTTCCTAAGTTTTTTTTTTTCACTTCACAAATTCGACAGTTTGGAATAGAGAAAATAAGTTCATTCCTACAAGGGTCCTTATTCTCAAAACCCATAGGAACAGTGTTCTCATAAGACCGATTTCTGTTTTTATCAGTGTTATGGAAATATGAATATGGGCGACGAAGACAGAACCTTCGTTCTCCTGTTTCGAGAATCAGAACGCTGGTCGAACAATTTCTTTTCAATTTCTTCTCAATTTTCTCAGTTTTTATTAAATTCTTTTGTCTCATTTTTTGTCTTTTCTCGGCTCTTGAAGTTCCCCAATTTCCTTTATTCATTTCTCCTTTTTTAATAGGTACATTTTCCTTCTGTCTCAATTTTTGTCTATTCCCGGCTCTTGAATTTCTATTTTTTTCAAATTAAGAGAATTTGAGAGCCTCGAAAAGAGAAAACACGTCAACCAATTTCTCTCCAATTTTTCCTCAATTTCTTTTTCTGTCTTAAGTTTTGTCTATTCTCGGCTCTTGAAATTCCTGTTTAACCAATTTCTTCTCGATTTTTCCACAATTTTCTCTCCCCATTTCTCAGTTTTCATTTAATTTTCCTTCTACAATGCCTCAATAGAAAAATTATCTTGAACATCAAAAACAGCAGATAGAGTCCAAAGGCCAAAATGTCTACTACGTAGAGAAGAAACCTAATTTTTGATAGATTTGAAAAATCTATAGTAATGTTACTTTATCAAACTAGTAACATAATGTGACAAGTTATTCAAGTACAAATGAGAAATTTTTGCGGAACTTATGGGTGGACCACAGCTATCTACTCATCAATATACTGTTGAACTATTCAAATAAGACACTCACCTGAAACTTGTAGTTTTTGAACTAATGAGAATAACTGACAATTGAGTGAGTCAGGTTAGTATCGTATTTGAAAAACGTATTAATGAATAGATGACTGCGGAACTCGCTTCGCTCGTCCCGCAGAGGTCCACCCATAAATTCCGCAACAATTCATTCGTTTGTACTTGAATAACTTGTCACATTATGTTACTAGTTTGGTAAATTAATATTACTAATTCCTGTTGAAAGGCAAATTGACAAAAAGTGGATAATCTTATAAATTCTGACTTTATATAATAAGTTTTTGTTCAAGTACAGGGTGTTTTTTTTATATATTGACACCCCACCTACAGCCTTTACCTTTACAAGTAGACGAAAGGTGTAAATATAAAAGTTGTACAGTATTGGCTAAATTTTTAGAATCCATGTTCAAAAGCAAAAATTGAATGTCAAAAATGATAAATGTTACATGCTTTCAGCTTTTTTCAAATGGGATGCCTTATATTTGGTTCTATATTTTTGGAGAGCACAATTTCCCGATTCCAAAACTATATAATTTGTCTATATTTGGTTGAGCCGTCTCCAACATATTTGGTTATAAAAATTTTAAAAATACTATCAATAGTAATATAACTAGTGCAATGGAAATTATTGATAATTTTTGGGAAATTTGCCCGAATGCATTTTTAGTTGAAAAAGAGCACGAGTGCACGTAGTGCACTCGTGCCTTTTTCAGTTAAAAACGCATGAGTGCAAATTTGTCGAAAATTATAAATATATTTCCATTGCACGAGTTGTATTTAATGAGTGAATTTCATAAATCAAAAATTTAAATTTTTTGTCAAAAAATGTCAAAACATCAGTTTTCGCACCATTTAGTATGCAATTATCTGATAATTTGCACTAGTGCAAATTATCGCGTAATTACAATCTGATTGGTTCAAATCAACAATTAAAACATGTCAATTTATTGTTGGAATACCAGTTTTGACAGATGTATGAAATTCTCAGAGAAACCAAGTACATACCTTGAATTTTACCTGCAGCTTTCACCTGTGTAGGTAAAATGGTTCACAAAATCAGTAATAGGATAGTATTTTTACAATTTTTGGAGCCGAATATATGAGAAACTGTTCAATCAAATATAGACAAATTATATATTTTTGGAATCGAGGCATTGTGTTCTTCAAGAATTAAGAATGGGATATAGGGCATCCTATTCGAAAAAAGCTGGAAGCATGCAACAGTATCTTGCACAATGCGCTGCCAAAACTAACCCACACTAACCCAATCTGGCTTACTTTAATTTAAACTGCCCCCTCCTTTCAAAACGCCCGTATCCGCCCCTGAAAAGATCTCAGGCTCAGAATTTGAATTATGATTTTTTTTTCTCACTTATTGATGAGATTTTATTTCTCGTTTAGCTGAAACCTTGTTTCCAGCAGAGCTTCAAAAACGACTTTAAAAACTGCTATAAGTATTGTAATAGGTAACATGTTTTTGCCAGAGAGAGAGAGGAATAATTCCCCAAATCTCGATTTGAAATAAGAAAAAAAAAAAAAAAACACTGAACGCTTGAATGCAACAGGGGTGGTTTAACTAGTTGCGTTGCATCGGAGGGGTGCGCGGCCTTTTGAGAGGGCCGAACCGGCCAGCTGCAGACACCCTGTAGGATTTTCGACTCCCTCCTGCTGACCTCGATATAATGGTACGAGCAGTGGAACCAAAACATTGAGAATTTTGTAAACAAAATGACTGTAATTTATATCCAAAGTAAGTCAGATTTGTAATGTAAATTACCGCCAGAAATTTTTGGAACTTGTAGCTGAATTTTGCAGCAATTTTTACTACTCGAGTTGAGATTTGAAGAATTTTGTGCTAAAATAAAATTTATTGAAAGGGGTTATTCTCTCAAAAAAAAATCTTGTTTATTTTATTGTCGCTTTTAATTGAAAATCAAGCCGGTATTTCACCAAAATATTTAACATAAAAAGAGTTATTCTGTTTAATGAACAGGAAGAGAATTTGAGCGGAGTAATTAAAAAGCGGCTAAATATACGCGGGCACTAGAAGAATTCAGAGCATAAAAGCCTTGTAAGCCGCGTTTAAGAACAATTTTATGGGGTATTAAATATTATTCATTATTTCTACAGGGGATAGTTGCGTGCGGTGCCAGCCAGTGTAAATATTTAATGCTGAGAACCAGTCGTTATATGGATTACCTGTAAAGGAGAAACTTTTGCATCTTACAAGCGCGTTTTAATTATTATTAATGATATACAGAAGCTATTTGTGGGTCATTCCCCATGATCTTTTAACTTGCAGATTTAAGTTTAAGGTTTTTAGATTGAAGATAAAATATTTCGAAGACAATCTAACATCAATATTATAGCTCGTTAATAGAAATTTATGTTTCTTGTTAAACGTCCAAAAAACTCTAGTAAAACATCCAATTATTACATTTTATTGGTTTTGTCGAACAAAACCGAGAATTGTGGCCCTTAGGGCCGGACCTTTTTTAAACTAGATCAGGTAAATGTCTGGTGACAAAGACGCTATCATAGTTTTCAATCTAAACTAAAAAAAAAAATATTATAAAATAAGTTTTGCTTGAAAAGTTACCACGTAGGCACGCGACTGATATATCAGCATGGGGTTAAAAATAATAATGAAGTTATTATATTTTAAGGGTGCATGAATTGCCAATAATATTATGAAAGGGAGAATATTGGCATCGTTATTTTTCAACTTAGACAGTTTTGATGATGGGTAAATTAATGTATCTAAAAGTTCATGTCTGCTATGGAAATGTAAATTAGATTGTTAGTTAATTAAATAAATAACAATGCAGTAATCAAATATTTAAAAATAATTTAATATAAGCGTTTATTTTTTTTCAAATGTTATTTATGTACTTAGGGTTATAATATAAAAGGATAAAAAAGTTCAATATTACACATTCATTGAACATTTTTTATTTAATTTTTTTTTCATTTCGTAGTCAATATAATCATGAATAGTCTAGTTTTTCTAGTTCTATTTTTTCAATGTGTTTTTTCACAAAGTAAGTGATTTTTAGGTAATTATTGTAGAATAATATTATTATGATTATTTTTTAAATTCAGTAATGAATGCTAATGAACAATTAGAAGCAATCCAAGCACAAATGGATTCACTTTTTGAAGCTGAAGCAGGTAATGATTTGATTGCAACAGAAAAATCAATATAACAGTTAATATTTTTTCAGTTTTACATGAACAAATACAAGCAATTCAAGCCCTAGCACCCTCAGATTCAATACTTGAAGCTGTACCAGGTAATGCAAGGAATTGATAGCAATAGAAAATTCATTATAAATTTTTTTCAAGAATTAATATCCAATATCAACGATCATTTACCACCAATCGAAGTAGAGCTAGGACCCAACGCAACAGTTGAACTTGCTCCCCCCGATCTCAATGAACCAATAATGCCAGACGTTCAACTTGAAACAGACCTAGTAGAAGGTAGGTAGTGGATTGATTCTATAAAAGAAGTCATTATAATATAGTCATAATATAATATGAGTTTGTTTCAGCTATAATATCTAATATTTATGAATCAATTGAAGAACTCCATAATCAGGTCCTAGCTGATGCAGCAGGTAAGCGATTGTAATAATAAAACCATAACTTTTTCTCTATTAAAGATAGAAAGCTGAAATTTTCAGCGATTCTTATCCCAGTAGAGGACTACAATCCCTGAAAGTTTCAGCTTATTTGTACTCATGGTTCCAGAAATAAAATCGTGTTAAGTAATTTGGGGAGATTTACCAATTTTTCAATTTTTCTGAGTGCCTTTTATCATGGAATCTGACTCCAAATCTCAGAATAATTGAGCGTATGGAGTTCGGGGGATCTCAAAAGACCATTAGGACACAAAATCCCAACAAAAAATATTTAAGGGGTGGTTAACTCCTTAAAATATGTACACAGATTTTAAATCTCCATTGATTTTGTAGGATTTTGAGGATTTTGAAAATCTTCACATGATTTTACAGGATTTTAGGTAATTTTGGAGCATTTAAGGGAAGTTAAAAGGGTTTTTAGAGATCCCAAAGGATTTTCAGCAATTTTAACGGATTTTTGGGGATTCTAATAAATTTTTGAAACTTAAAGGAACTTTTTTTTTTAGGAATATTAATGATTTAAGTAGGAAGATTTTGATGGATTTTTAAAGATTTTAAAGATTTTCAGTGATTTTGACCAACTTGCTAATTTACAGTTTTTGACCAATCGACCGCTCCGAGGTTTAGTTAACTCTATAAAATAATGAACACATATTTTAAATCTTAATTGATTTTGTAGGATTTTGGGAATTTTGAAAATTTTTACAGGAGTTCAGATTTTCAAAATCTTAAGTGATTGTGGAATATTTTTGGTGGTTTTTGAAAAGTTTTTAGAGATTCTAAATTCAAATGACAAATTTAAATGGAAAAACGGAAATTCCTAGACATTTTACTATAGGATTTCATAATACTTTTCCGAATTTCATCATATGGAATTCCACCATAAAATTCAATGGAATTCTTGTACAAAAATTCCTCGGAATTACAGTAAAAGATTTCATGAAATTTCCGGAATTCCACTAAAATTTTATGTAATTCGACAGAAATAACTCAGAATTTCACTAAAATTTAATTCAATTCTTCGAACTTTCTCGTAGTTCCATGGAAATTCGACGGAAATTCTGTTTAATTCCAAGGGAATTCTTCGGATTCCATGTAATTTCACTGGAATTCCACAATAAAATTTCAAGGAATTCCATGTATGTAATTTGACGAGAATTCCTTGGAATTATACTCGACATTTCATCAAAATTTTATGCAAGTCAACACAAAGTGAAATTATATATAATTTGATGGAAATTCTGCCAATATTTCATTATTATTTTTTTTTTTCGAAATCCCACTGAAATTCTTCAAAATTCTATAGAAATTCCAAATTCCATAATTTTTTTTAAAACTTTACTGAAATTCCCCAAAACTTCACCACTGAAATATTCCAGGATATTTCAACAAAATTTTCATAAAATATTTTGGATTCTCAATGACATTTCTTGTAATTTCTTAGAAATTCCTCGGAATTTCACTAAAATTTTATGATTTTTTTTTTGAAATTTCACTGAAGTTCCACGTTATTAGTCGAAAATTTCTCGAAATTCCAATAAAACTTCGATTTTTATTTCGAAATTTTATTTATTTCCATAAGAATTTTTTCGGAATTTCACTGAAATTATCTTTCAATAGTCAGGAATTTTTGGGAATATTTATAAAACTTCAAGTAATTTCTTGAAAATTGACCGCAATTCCTCCGAAATATATTAAAATTTCATTTCATACTATCATATCGGTATCTAATATACCGAAATTCCAAGTGTTTAGCCGAAAATTTCTCGGAATTCCACTTGTGAAATTTTACTAAAATTCAGTAATTCGATGGGAATTTTTCGGAATTTCAATTTCACTAAGATGCCATGTTTAACTGGAAATTCCTTGGAATAAAAACAAAACCTCGTGTAATTACATTAGGATTTTTCGAAATTTCACTGGAATTCCTTATAAAACGATAAGAGTTGTTCAAAATTCGACTTAAATTTCATGTAATTCCCTGACAATTCCTTGGAATTCCATGCAATTGCATCGGAGCTCCATATAGTTCGATGAAAATTCCTCGGAATTCATGTAATTTTTTGTAACTTTTTTGAAGTTTTTTATGTAATTTAACGAATACTGAAATTTCATGTTGGAAATTTCGATGTAATTCCATGTAATTGTCTAGAATTCCTCCATGCAACTCATTCAGAATTTTGTGTAATTCGATCGAAATTCCAAGAAAATTTCACATGTAATTTCTTTTTCGGAATAACATAATTCCACCGAAATTTCTCGGAATTCCATTCCTAGAAATTTTACTATAAGATTTCATAATACTTTTCCAAATTTCACTATAAGATTTCATGGAATTACACCATAAAATTCAATGGAATTCTTGGACAAGAAATTCTTGGAATTACACTATGAAATGTCATGAAATTCTTCGAAATTCCACTAAAATTTCAAGTTATTCCATAGGAATTCCGCGAAAATTTTAGTTAATTCCATAGAAATTCCTTTAAATTTCACCAGAAAATTTTATGGAATTCTTAGACAAATTTTTTTCGGAATTAGGTACAGTACAGGATTTCATGAAATTTCTCGGAATTCCACTAAAATTTCAAAATTCCATAATTTTTTTTTTTCCTTCACTAAAATTCCCCAAAATTTCATCACTGAAATTTCTTGGAATTCGACAAAATTTGTATAAAATTCTTGGGAATTTCATTGACATTCCATGTAATTTCTTAAAAATTCCTCGGAATTTCACTAAAATTTTATGAGAATATTTTGAAATTCCACGTTCATAGCCGAAAATTTCTCGAAAGTCCAATGAAATTTCAAGGAATTTTTCAAAATTTCATTTATTTTCATAAGAATTTTGGAATTTTACTGAAATTCTCTCTTAATAGCCAGGAATTTCTAGGAATATTAATAAAACTTCAAGTAATTTCTGGAAAATTCACCGAAATATATTGAAATTTCATGTCATTACATGGGAATTTTTCGGAATATCACCGAAATTCCATGTTTTTAGCCGGAAATTCCTTGGCATTCCACTTGTGGAATTTTCTGGAATTTCACTAAAATTCGGTAAGAACTGAAATTTCATGTTGGGAATTTCATATAATTGTTTAGAATTTCATGTATGGAAACTCCGCAAAAATTTCACATGTAATTCCTTTTTTAGAATAACATAATTCTACCAAAATTCCGCAAAATTCCACTAAATTATGGAATTCTGAGAGACTTTTTAGGGATTTTGAGTAGATTTTATGAGATTTTCTCGGATTTTGACCAACTTGTACACGGATTTTGATTAGTTAACCACCCCTCGATTAAACAGTCTCTCATATATACGGCTCCAAAAATTGTCTACTTTACTTACCTACTTCTGATTTTGTGAACCATTCTTCCAGGTGAAAGCTGCAGGTAAAATTTGAGGTACCTACTTGGTTTCTATGATAGTATTTTTAAAATTTTTAGAACCAAATATGTTGGAGACGGTTCAACCAAATATAGACAAACTATATAGTTTAAGAATCGGGAAATTCTGTTCTTCAAGAATATAGAACCAAATATAGTGCATCTCATTTGAAAAAAGCTGGAAGCATGCAATATTTGACATTTCTGACATTCAATTTTTGTTTCTGACTATAGATTCTAAAAATTTAGCCATTACTGTACAACTTTTGTATTTACAGCTTTCAGTCACTTGTAAAGGTGAAGGCTGTAGGTGGGGTGTTAATATATAAAAAAACACCCCCTGTACTTGAACAATAATTTATTATATAAAGTCATAATTTGTGGGATTATCCACTTTTTGTCAATTTGTCTTTCAACAGGAATTAGAAATGTTACTTTACCAAACTAGTAATATAATGGGACAAGTTATTCGAGTACAAATGGGTGGATTGTTGCGGAACTTATGAGTGGACCTCTGCGGGACGAGCGCAGCGAGTTCCGCAGCCATCTATTCATCAATATGTTGTTTAATTACGATGCTAACCTGACTCACTCAAATGTGAGTTATTCTAATTATTTTAAAAACTACAGGTTTCAGGTGAATGTCTTATTTGAATAGTTCAACAGTATATTGGTGAGTAGATGGCTGCGGAACTCGCTAGCCTCGTCCCACAGAGGTCCACTCATAAGTTCCACAATAATCCACTTATTTGTACATGAACTATAACTTATTATAGTACCATAAACTCAAAATTTGTAAGATTATGAATATTATGATTATTCACTTTTTATCAATTTGCCTTTCAACAGGAATTAGTAATGTTACTTTACTAAACTAGTAACATAATGTGACAAGTTAGTCAATTACAAATGTGTGAATTGTTGCGGAATTTATGGGTGGACCTCTGCGGGACGAGTGCAGCGAGTTCCGCAGCCATCTTTTCATCAATATGTTGTTTAATTACGATACTAACCTGACTCACTCAAATGTGAGTTGCCTTACTTGAACAGTTCAACAGTATATTGGTGAGCAGATGGCTGCGGAACTCGCTGCGCTCGTCTCGCAGAGGTCCACCTATAAGTTCCGCAACAATCTACTTATTTGTACTTGAAAAATAACTTATTATATAAAATCAGGATTTGTAAGATTATCCACTTTTTGTTAATTCGCCTTTCAACAGGAATTAGTAATGTTACTTTGCCAAACTATTAATATATTGTGACACGGTATTCAAGTTCGAACGAGTGAATTGTTGCGGAACTTATGGGTGGACCCAGCCATTTATTTACCAGTATGTTGTTCAAGTACGATACTAACCTGACTCACTCAAATGTGAGTTATTCTTTAAAAAGTACACGTTTCAGGTGAGTATCTTATTTGAACAGTTCAACAGTATATTGATAAGT